AGTCGGCCAGGATATCTGCTAATCGTTGGAGAAGTAAATTTTATTCGTAATTCTCTATAAAATGGACACCGGAAGAGGACATGCCCAGTGGTTTTCACTTCCCCAGAACCACATGGACACAGCCTTTTAGCCAATGGTTTAATTGCTATATATTGATGAAATTTTGAAAAAAAAAAAGACAACTTGGTTAAGTTTTTTACTTCTTGTTTCAAGTTTATTTGACATGGCTCAAAGGCAATAGTTTTTGCCTCTAGCAACTCATATATGGGGGAAAGATAATGTACAATATTCCTGAGGGGTTTTTTTAGCTCCTTTCTATTATACCAAATCTTTCTGGCCTCTGTATAATAATTATATTTTGGTTATTGTTAGGTCCGTATATGCTTGCAACTGGGCTGACGCTCTACCTCCTGTCTAAGGAAATTTATGTAGTGAATCATGAAACAGTAGGTGGTGCCATGGTTTTGGGTATAATAATCTATGGAGTTAAGAAGTATGGTCCTAGTGTAGCAGCTTTTGCTGACAAACTGATGGAGGTGAGTATAATGCCTCGGTTGTATTATACTCATTTTGTTGCATAGCTTATTTTGTTGCCTGTGTTTTCTCAGGAATATTATAACTTAATATTTTCTGTATAATGTGTAAAATTTTAAAGGGGTTTTTAAGATACAGAGTAGTGTTCAGTCTGCAAGCATTATTATTCTAATGAGTAGCTCCCAATTTAACTTTGGCCTTTTTGATTCCTATTTTATTTGTTTATTTACTGCTAAGATTTCTAGCTCCCCCATTCTAGACTAGCTCTGAGTGATTTACAGGAAAATACAATGCATTAAAAGCAATAGAAAAAAAACCCCATCATCATAACTTCAAACAATTGCTGAATGAATAGTTGTAACCTGAGGAGTACCAGTACTTCCTTCTTAGCCTGTAGTCTGAACCATGTGTATTCTTATGTGCTGTTACATGTGAAATTTCAAGACTTTCAAGGAGGGAATATGAATTATTAGGCTGCCCAGTAAAACTTCTTAACATAAAATATTCCAGTTCCATTAATCACTTCTGTGTGTGTGGTGTTACTGGAATGGTTGTCCAGACTTAAGAGATGCCATATAATGCAACTGAAATTTTTAATGATAGGCCCAGATATTATTTATCTATTCAGGTTGTTGTTATTGTTCAGTCGTTAAGTTGTGTCGGACTCTTCATGACCCTATGAACCATATCGTGCCAGGCCTTCCTGTCCTTCACTGCTTCCCTGAGTTTGGTCACTATCATGCTCAATCTATTCAGGTAGAGAAAACTAAATGCAAACTGATGTAATTAGGCATTTCATTAATACAGAATGATGAATAACCAGTGCTGTCAATTGCTACTTAACTGATGGGAGAGGCAATATTGTCTCCAGTCTGGCTTATTCAACATTATGTGAACTGGAAAGTCTGTCATGTTAGAAAATGAGATAAACAGGTCTTATGATTCTAGTTTCTTCTGAGAAACAAAGCAATGTTCAGAGTTTTGCACATAATATAAATACAACACAGAAATAACCATCTCTGCGTGCTTGGCCATTCTGCTGGTAGGAAGAACCAAATGGGAGCAGTGACCACCTGTATTCTGCTTGTCACTGGTTAAACCAGAATTCAGTCTGAATGCAGTCTCTCTATGGTGTTAAATTGCTTGTGCTTGTCATCTTGTATCTGCGTAACTTCCATTTTTTCAAAATGATAATTATACTGTACTTGCCAATAATATTGTATCAAGGTAAAATGGGATGTGGTAAAGGACTTTGAACATTTTTATTTCTTTCAAGATTAAACTGGCTTTTCTTTTTTTCATTTTAGGAAGAACTTGCTCGTTACGAAAACTTAAAAAAAGCTTACATAGCTAGATGTGAGAAGGGAATTGAGAATGAGAAGAAACAGCAGTGGAGAGCTGAGGGTCACCACTATCTCTTTGATGCCAAGCGGGTATGGTAGGAAATGGGACATGTTATTAATAACGCCAATTGCCTCCAAACAATGTTCACAATCACTTTCCCTTGTCCAAGCCAGCTAGGGCTGATGGGAGTTGAAATCCAAACTTCTGGATGTTATCAAGTTGTCTCCCCTCACTCTAGAACATAGTCCTCTGGTAACTATTATAATAATGAGTACATGGCTTCATTTTTATTTTATTTATCATATTTATATAGCCACCCATCTCACACAAAGTGACTCTGGACAACAATTTATGATAGTACTTCTGATTTACAATAGTAATACTCAGTTTGTTCATACCTTAGTCACCTTGTAGTTGGACTGTTGTGACATGCTCTAATGGGGCTGTTCTTGAAGACCATTAGAAAATTACAACTGGTCCAGAATGCACCAGTACATATAGCTACAGGTGCAACTTGGTTCATCCACGTAACTTCTGCTCTGTGAACTGCACTGGTTGCCAGTCAGCTTCTGGGTGGAGTTCAAGGTGCTGGTTAAAGCTCTTCATGGCTTAGGGCTTGATTATCTTCAGCACAACATCTCTCCAATTATGTCTGCCTGTCTTATTAGTTTAGTGTAGCAGGCATGGTCCAGGTCTTACCTCTAAAATGTCATCTTGTGAAACTTCAGAGATGGGACTTTTCTGTGGCCACCCCTCCCCTGTGGGATAATATCTCTCTGAAATCAACATAGCCCTGACTCTTTTGTCATTTAGGAAAGCCCTTATTCTGGAATAATGTAAAACATTTTTGTAGTAATCTAAAAGATAATGATGCAAATAATGTGTACTAAGCTTAGCTAGTAGGAGAAAGATAAGAGCACAAGTACAATGAACTCTTTCCACTGATAGTGATCCTTTACCATGTAGTACTGAGAGGGGATGATTTCCTTTGTCATAATCTTTCATTTGTATCTGATTACCTGCTTTTTAAAATTCTATACAGTCTGCTAGAGGCTCCTAGTTTAGCCCTTTTTATCCACTGTCATAACAGTCTCAAAATTTCCATCACTCTGGCTTTTCTCTGACTCTATTAATCTTAACAATTTTTTGCTCTCTTTGACTACATTCTTTGCAGCTATTTTTGTCTTTTTATGCATGTTAAATTTTATCTTTCATGCTCACATTTTGTTGCAATCATTTCACCAAGCATTTTTTCTTTTTATTAGCATAACTCCATACATTAATGTGGCATTCTGAAGTACAATTTTTCACTCTTTTCGAAGCAGCTTCCACATCTTTCCTTGCATCGACTCTCTTTTCATTCTGATGGGAGATTAATCAGTCTTCTAATACTTTTTCATATAGGATTCATATGTCGTGCTGTCTTATTTTCAGACTCATTTCTTCTATTCCCTTCCTTTCCATGCATGCTTTTCCATGCTTGCTTTTCACCCAGGAATCACTCTTGACATCACCAAAACATGGACTGTCACCAGTTGTGTTTCCTTCACTAATTCTGTCAATCTTTCATTATAAATAATTAAATCACTTATGCATTTTGATTTATATTCATTCCTTTGCCATGTGTATGTATGAATATATTTATGCTTCAACCATATACTCAAAACAAAGAGGTATTTTGCTTAACACATGCTCGTGAAACAATCATCATCTCATTCACTCTTGGATCTCCAAACGGCCCAATCGTTTTTTCTGTACCCTCTCTTCCTATCCTTCCATCCATGCCACCTAGCAGAATAATCTTTACTCTTGGATCTTGTTCATTCAGAACTAAAAGGTACAAACAGAACAATTTTCCTCAAAACGTGTATCTAGTTCTTCCTTTATCACCAGTGGAGTATAACATGCAACTATCCCCAGCCTTGGATTCATACTTTTGTACCCATCACAACAACTAGATGACAGCATCTCATGCATTTTAATGATAATAATAATGTATTAAATTTATATGCTGCCCAACTCCACTGATGAAAATTTTAGCCCTTTCACTTACATTTTCAACCTACATCTTCACTTCCCTGCATGTATTCATCAACCCCTCAAGGTCAGGCCGTATTAATTCAAACATATATCTTTCTCCTTTCTCTTAGTCTCACAGACATACAGCGTACATATTGTTTCTCATTTTGCTTGTTAATTCATGCTGTTTTCCATTTATTCCTCTTAATGTTACAAGTTGTAATCTTCCATATGATGTGATTTCTCACCAGATGAATCCATGAATTGTATATTGACCTGCAGTGCCCATCACAGCTTTGGGTCAATCAAGGCTTTCACTGAGCATGGATATGGCAGAGATAAAGTTACCAGCCTTAGCTGTATGTGTGCTACATGCAGCATTTCTGACTAATGAAAGGATATTTTGGCCATTTGGGGCATATTTGTCACACATGCACAGAACCAAAGCCCAATTTTACACCAAACTAGTTTATGCTATTATATGCACATTTTGGACCTTCAATATTGAGACTAGATTTGCAAGGCAATATATGTTGCCTGCATTCCACCAACTAGAAGGTATAAGCAGTAAATTGGCATTCTGAATTGCATTTTATGTTGTTATATATTATTCAAAGAAGGAACATGTCAGAAACAAAAATCTGCAGAAGACAATAGCAAATGTCTAAACTTGCCATTTATATCTCTCTTTGGGAATATGGATTATTTTCAGACTGGTTGAATTTGTGGCTTCTGATGCATTTCTACATTTTCTGCTTATTTATGAACAGTGAATATATCATAGAAATATTGTAATCAAAAGAATAAGGAATCATATATGTTTTCTTGTGGATCTAGAACAATATTGCTATGATCTTGGAGACCAACTATAGAGAAAGGCTTCTCGCTGTATCCAGGGAGGTGAAGAAGAAGCTAGACTATCAAGTTGCATTACAGCAGCTCAAGCGGCGTATGGAACGAGATCACATGATCAGCTGGGTAGAGAAAAGTGTTTGGCAGAGTGTTACAGCCCAAGAGGTACTTAGCAAATACTACCTTACAGATAGCTTATGGCCATTTTATGGCTGGAAAAGCCACTGGCTTTCCCTTCCTTTACCTCCATAGTGAAGAAGATTATATCTAACCTTTTGGGAGATAGATGCATCTTCTTAATACTAGAAGTAATGTTTCATTTTAATGATTTTATTCTGTATTTTATTGATGAACCATTTTAATCATAAACTGGTTTATGTTTATGTGTATTGTATTGCTTTAAATTGTTCCATATTCTGTGGTATATACATGTAATAAGTACATGCTACATATTTTTAATGTTGCATATGCTTTGAAAAGGATTTAGAGGTTTTCAGAATATATGCAAGTACAGCATCTCTTTAAAGCAGGGGTCCCCAAACTCTTCAGCTCATCGATCCCTTGATGATGTTTCAAATTGTTCATTGACCTCCCAAACATTTACTGTATGAAAATAATTTAATAAATACTATTTTAACTGATAGTACTATGAATAATAATATCAACCCCTTGATAGTCCCCTTGGGGGTCGATATTGACCATTTTGGGGAACTCTGCTTTAAAGCAACCATGTCTTTTTTCAGGCTTCCACATAGACTGAAAACAGACATTGCTGCTTTCATGGTCACACAAAAGCCTAAAAAAAGATGTGGCTGCTCCAAAGAGATGCTGCAGTCCTGGGTCCCACTGTAGTTCTTCTGAATTAATTTCAAAGCATGTACAGCCCTTTTGTCCATCAGTTTTTTGAAGTAAACAAGACATACAGGTAAAAGCAGCTCTTAGATATTACTCATTAATACTTATTTAAGAATAAGCAACATTTTTGGGCCAATGGGAGCAACTGGAATTTTGAGGGCAAATTGTAGCAGGGTCACAAATGGCTGTCATGGGGTACAAATGCTGGTCTGTAGCTAAGTGTTATTTATTTTCAAAGTTGCTCTGTGAGGTAGTGTTCTTGGAAATAAGAGTTGTATTGCTTCCCATTTTGAAAATAATAGGCAGGCATGGAAGCAGCTGGATGCCGGACTCTCTTCTCAATATTGTTTTTTAATATTTTATTTATTTTATTATATTTTAAATTTAACAAATTGGAAGCTAGCATGCTATAAAACAAAATACAAGCTTCTTTACTGTGCTCTACGTAGAAGCTGGACTCTTCAGAAGCATTATTACAAAATAGTGGATGGCTGCAGCCCAGTATTTTGTTTGGAAGTGTGGCCTCTTGGCCAGAAAATAAAGATAAGCTGAGATAGTCAAGGGCATTTTCTAAAAGTAAAGGAAGCATGGGAAATAGATTTTACTTTAAATGCATAATTAGCAGCCATATCTAACTTTCTTTTTCCAAACGCTATTAACAAATGTGGAGAGATGCATTGATATAATGGTAGGGGTTTTTTTTCCTAAGATTAATCACTGTGTTTGGAGATAATTTTCCATTGCAGTTGTGGCAGAAAGGAATGATTAATTATCTTTTTTTCCTTAGTTCCACCATGGAGAAAACTGTGAAAATGTAATATGGTACCACTCTTGTCCATGACAAAACTGCCATACCTTTTTTCATTCCATCCCATGTTATAAGACTGCCTCACGTAGCGACAGTATGCTCTAACAATATATTTTTATTCTACATATAGGGCAACTGATCTAGGGTGGTCTTCATAAGTACTATATCTCTACATTTTAAGATGGCAGAATTTTTGACTGAGAGGATTGGGTGAAGAGCTAAATATTCTTCATGGTATCAATTAGATTCTCTAAGAATGGGTTTCTTTATGTTACATTTTTTCCTTCATAGACCTGAATACTTTATTTAAGTATCATATACAGTCAGGTCCAGAAATATTGGGACATCGACACAATTCTAACATCTTTGGCT